AACAATACTTTCTGACTGCAGTTCAGTTACTCACTACCTACACACACATTGTCCACGTCACGTTGTGAGCGTCTTATATATACCCGACTACCCTATATCTAGTAAATGCTAGGGCATTCACGAAGGAACAAGATAGTTCCAGAAAGCAGGTGGCGTGACTCTAGTCACATGACCTCACTGACGCAGATTACAATCATATTATATAAAGATGTCGACTGACTTTAATAAGTGGATACTTTGATAAGTTTTAAAGAGTATGCTGAAGAAGATGTGACAAAAGATACAACATGACTGGACAGGTACCTGCAGGCAATATTATTTGCTTACTGAGAAGTCCCACAAGCAAGTACGGGATTTTCACTCTTCGAGTTGAACAATAGAAGAACAGTCAGAAGTGAGGAACACCTCCCAGTACGCGTTAGACCCCAGGAATTGTCTGTAGGAGACCTGTCAACTCACTCGAAAAAATTTGTATGCAGCTGAAGTTAATCAGAAGCATTTTTGGAGACAGAGAAATGAACAACTTGGGCTCAAAGATAGTAACCTGTGATCATAAACTAGAGAGAGAAGAGCATCAACAGAGGAGGAGAGGCAGAGAATAGAGGATAATAATGCAAAGAAGAAAATCAGATGAAAGAGAGACTGGAAATAGAGAGAATAAGAGCACAAATTGAGACAGCAAAATTCACCCAACTGAAAGAAGAAAGACCCAAGAACGACAGTAGTCAGGGATAGCCAACATGGATGCTCTTCTGAAGAAATATGAAAGATTCGACCAAAGTCAGAACTGGGACAAAGGCTACTGGGCAGTCTGTCTCAGCCCACTTCTCACAGGAAAAGGTCTACAAGTATGTGCAGGCATGACATCAGAAGATGCCATGGACTATGACAATGTTAAAAGTGGCATTTCTTAAATGCCATGAATTTACCGAAGAAAGTTTTCATTAGAAGTTCAGAGAAGTCGAACCTGACACCAGATAAACTGAATTTCAGTTTGTGGCATCTCTATGGTGATACTTCACAAGATGGACTGACATGGCCAAGTTTTGAAGGCTGGCAGAGCTACTAATACGTGAACAGTTCATCATCACATGTTCAACTGACATATCACTGTTCCTTAAGGAGATAGCACCAAAAGACGTGGACAAGGTGATCAAGTTGGCAGAACAGTATGTGGAAGTCAATGGAGGGGGTATAACTGGCAAGTCCAAGAATAACCAATTAAAGTCAAAACCAGGGGTGGCTGACCAAAAGCAGAATGCCACCAAAAGTGATAAGAGGTTAACAGACAAAAAGGAGAAGAGATGCTATACTCGTTATAAAATGGGGCACATTGTGAGATCCTACAAGTCTTTCACGAACAAGCAACAGTAGAAATATCCACATAAAGCAACTAAAACTACCTATAAAGATAGTGCTGGCAAGAAACAAGAAAATAGTGATTTTCACCATGGATACTGTTGCCAGAAGAAATAGAATAGAGATAACTCACCAGCTTCATCATAAGGAGGAAGTGCCATCACCATTAAGCAGTTCATGATTGATGCTCAGTTCAAGTTAGTAAATGGTCAACAGTGCCAGTGGTGATTGAAGCATGCAACAAGCATTGAGAGGTGCTAACAAACCACAACATACTAGTAGGTGAAGACTATGTCAAGGACAAAAAAGTGTAAAGTCTTACAATACACTGGGACAGTAGTAGAGTAGTGAGAACCAATCTAGTATCTGATGACTAGATGACAGGCAAGGTACATCTATGTGTGCTAATTGATGGAATAGTGAGAAAGTTTCCCATGGCAAGAATAAAGGTGGATACTCCATACTATGTGGTAAACCTTGAGGCTATGTGTATGAAGGCACCCATCTATGACTTGGTGATTGGCAATATACCAGGCAGTAGAAGTTGGGAGGAACCAGACAGAAAGGAGATTGATGAGGCATCTACAGTCACCACAAGAGTTCAAGAGAAGAAGAACAAACAAGACATCAAGCCCCTTCAAGTCTCAAAGAGTGACATCCCGAATGTAGGTCTATGGGAACTGAAGGAAGCACAGGAGAAAGAACCTGCACTGTAGAAACTTTGGGACAGTGCCAGGGAGAAAGTGAAGCACATGGCTGAAGAGAAAGAAATGGACTTACAGAATAGATGATCAAAAGGGAGTGCTGTACCAGATTTATCAACGCAGCTCTATTGTGGAAGTTAAACAGATCATAGTACCAACAGAATACTGGACTCAAGTGATGAAGCTGGCTCACAAGTCAGTTGATGATCAAAAGAGAGTGCTGTACCAGATTTATCAACGCAGATCTATTGTGGAAGTTAAACAGATCATAGTACCAACAGAATACTGGACTCAAGTGATGAAGCTGGCTCACAAGTCAGTTGTGGGAGGACACCTAGGAGCAAATAAAACAGTAAACAGAATCACCAGCAACTTCCATTAGTTAGGGATCACTGGAGATGTAACCAGATTATTTAGGTCATGTGATGTCTACCAAAGGACAATACCTACAGGGAAGGTAGTCAAGGTGCCATTGGGTGAGATGTCTCTCATAGAAGAGCCATTCAGCAGAGCATCTGTGGACTTGATTGGACCACTAGCACCTGTATCTGACAAGGGCAAGTGGTATGTGCTGACAGTAGTCGATTATGACACCTTACTCAGAAGCCATAGCATTGCTGAAGATAGAGACAGAGAGAGTAGCAGAAGTCCTCCATGAATTGTTTTGCAGAATAGTCTTAAAAAATATTGAGTGAAAAATGCAAGAGGTGTGCGGATTCATCAGAACTAGGCAAATATTTACCACCCTATACAACCCTAGAAGTAATGGACTTTGTGATAGAGTCAATGGAGTTTTAAAGAGTATGCTGAAGAAGATGTGACAAAAGATACAACATGACTGGACAGGTACCTGCAGGCAATATTATTTGCTTACTGAGAAGTCCCACAAGCAAGTACAGGATTTTCACTCTTCGAGTTGGACAATAAAAGAACAGTCAGAAGTGAGGAACATCTCCCAGTATGTGTTAAACCTCAGGAATTGTCTGTAGGAGACCTGTCAACTCACTCGAAAAAATTTGTATGCAGCTGAAGTTAATCAGAAGCATTTTTGTTACAAAAAGGCCAAGAATCAACGTTTCAAGATCGGACAAAAAATCTTAGTTCTGCTACCCACAGTCAAAAACAAACTCACCCTGCAGTGGAAAGGACCTTATGAGGTGCAGGAAGTGATCAACAAAATGGACTATAAGGTAAAAGTCGGCCTGAAGACCAAGATCTACTACACCAAAAAAGAACTAATGGGTGAAGTTATTAAGGTGTGGTGGTCACAGATGCAGAACCAGAAGATGGTGAGTTGTTCAAAGAAGATGAATACATATTAGACCTTAAACTGTTGGGTGGAGATGAGATGTACAAAGACATCAACATAAGTGAAGAACTGAGTGGCAAGCAGAAAAAAAAAGTTACAAGATCTACTTTGTCAGTATGCAGACATCTTCACAGATAGTCCAGGCAAGACAGACCTTGTGCAAAACAAGGCTGAGACCATGTCCAGGAATCCAGTTAAGGTGATGCTCTACCAGATGGCCTATGCAATGAGAGACCTGATCAAGCAGGAAGTTGAGTCAATGTTAGAGGCTGGAGTAATCGAGCCTTCGAATTCAGCCTACTGTTCACCATTGGTAATTGTGAAGAAGAGGGATGGCTCAAACTGCTTCTGCATAGACTTCCGGAAGCCGAACCTCGTGACGAAGTTCGACTTCGAACCTTTGTGTAACCTGAAGGTTATTATCGCGAAACTAGACAGGGTCAAATTCTTTTTCAAGATCAACCTTAATAAGGGTTATTGACAGGTTAAACTGTATTAAAAATTATCTCCCAAAAGAATAAATCACAGCAAATATCACATATTCATAAGAAGAAGGATATATGTTTAAAGATATTGTCTGTTATTAAAAACTGGGTTTTGGTATCCATAATGGGAACAGCACAGGTATTTCATTGAGTAGCTTTGTGCTTAACAAACAAACAAACCTGAAACTATTTAAAATTTAATATTATAAAAAAAAATCATAATTGTGCAGAGGTCACTACCTCTGAATATTTATGGCCATATGCCTTTACTTACCCAGTTATTGCAAGTCATATAAATACTTAAAATAAGCCTTGAAATATTTGATCTACGCCATCCACTGACTTATTTCAAATTTTTATTTTATAATGTATTTAGTCTATTAAGTTTTAATTTCAATTGTTATTTTTGTTTGAAATGTTTCACTATGTCCAGAATTTGCAAATATACGGTAGGCAATCCATCAATTTCAACTTCATCTTATACTTCTTGCCAGACTCCTAGCTTGAGTTCGGCTCCCGATTCTAACGACATTCAAGATTTACTTCTAAAACTAAGAAGTGGTTCGTTTAAAGAAATTTACAATAGTCTTGTAAATTTGCGAAAAAAATTCCTTAAGCAGCCTGATGGTGTTAAGAAGCTGCTACAGAATGGGGGTATTAAAATACTGTTGCAGTTTGTTGAAAAACCTAAGTTTTCTGACTTGGCACTAAGTATTTTAGCAAACAGCTGTCTTGATGATGAAGTGAGACAGGAGGTTCTTTGCAGGGATGGTATCAAAACTGTTGGTAAGCTTGAAGTTTATAGGTAATATGAAAAAACAAAAAAAAGGAATAGCATAGGTGTAGTTAAAGTTAAGTATGGTCTAATAGCAGTACTGTCTCTATATGGTGTACCTATCTCCACAGTTCAACAAAAATCTTTGGAACTTACTATTTCAGTTTTGCAGTTTCTCAGATTCTGTGCAAGCAAGTTTTTGGAACACAGTGTTGGTATATTATGTGTATAATGTTAAATATCTGTGCAGTCTTTGAATAGAATATAGTATGAAAGGAATAATAATTATAGAAAGAGAAATAACTTAAAGTTTTAATGTGAAATCTTAGCAGAATAAAATATTTTTTAATCAAGGGGTGAAATGTTAAAATATATAATGTAACTGTTATACACGCAAGTCATAATTAGTTGACAAATTTATAAGATGTACCACACATTTTTAAGGACTTAACAAAAATTATAAACTCTAAAGGTTATGTCAATTAGAAGAAAAGTTACTGCATTTTTAGCAGTTGAGTGAATCCTATTCTAACCCACATAAAATGCTATTTAAATTTTTGACCAGTGAAGCCTCAAAAGCACAAGACACGTAGTTAAAAGACTAGCTTTTATAATACATAAATAATATTTTCAACTTTTAAAATCTTCTAAACTTTCTTTAAAAATATATTACATTTTCATTAAAAATCAGGGCAATAACTCATGTTATCCATTGTAAGGGTAGGGGTGTACTTGAAATTTATTGGACTTCATATATTCATTTATCAGTGAAAACAATTCTGTGTAAAAATTTATTTGTACATGGGGGGGGGGGGGCATTTTAAGATTGTATGGTTTAATAGGGTGATTGCTTTCTCTTACATTACAATGGAATTTCCTATTTTGTGACAGCTGATCCCAAAACATTTATTACAACATGATTATGTTTTGAAACGTGCATTATTTTATTAACATAACTTACTGTGAATGAAATGTGATTTACCCACGTTTGTTCTTCGTGATATTTCAGCAATATGGTGGCTAACACATTGTTTACATCTGAAATGACATAGATTCATAATTGTATGCAGCTCATTACGGTTTACAACAATCTGATAGGCATTTGAAACTCAGCATTCACAAAGATTTAAATTATATTGTATAACTTTTTTACACTAATATAAGACTATTTTATCCCTCTTTGAAAAGAAACAAAAATATATTTAGGTGAAAAACATTTAAATGTATTGGTTATATTTGATTTTACATTCTGGTGGGTCCACCATATTCTCCTATTTAACATGGATAAATATTTCCTAAAACTGAAAGAACTGAACACTGTAAGAGTGATTAATAAGTGCAGCTAGATCAAGGACTACTTTTAGAATGGTCACAATATGGTGGATAGAGAGCATGACAATACTGATCTAAAGATCCTAACATACTTGTATTATTAGTAGACACACTTTTAGTGTCTGGAAAAAGTCTAGACATGAAAAATTGCCATTGTAACATGTAATTGATGTTGATTTCCTTATATTAGCTTAGAAATAATTAATTATTGGTTGAGGTTTTAAGTGGATTGCTGTAGACTCCAACTGTGTTGATTAAAGAAAACCTCAAATAATTGTTGTGGTAATTAATAGCCCATATTTTATATCTAATGTTCCTTTTTTGATACTGTATTGTAGTTCCAGGACATCTGGCTTTTCTTTTATTAATTTCTGAAAAAATGGAGGGGGATTTAGATGCCTACTAGATCTGCACCTGCTTATAAAACATTAAATAATACAGTTATTGGTTTTTGAAACAGTGGATGGAGAGGATTTGGATCCTGGACCCCTCCCCCAAGTCCATGTTTGATTATACAGCATGAAAAAATATTGTTATTAATTCCTGAAAAAATGGAGGGGGTTTGTGTCATCTAGAACTGTACCTGTTCTTATGGCATTAAAGAATACAGTTACCCAATTTTAATATAGAAATATAAGACAATGAAAGAAACCCAGTAAATTTACACTTTATTTAACATTCAATTAGCCAGAAAATTGGTGGTGGTTGCTGTGAGCCAGTTGCCTTCTCTTTATTCAGCAATTCAAAATTATGTAGCTTTGTACTGAACAACAAACAAGCATAATGACAATATTTCAATTACTTAGGTAGTTGGAATAATCAAGAATCAAAACAAAGTTCATAATTTATTAATTCAAAAGAAAATATTAAAATAAAATGCTAAATATCCTTTTTTGTGTATCACAGTATGTACCTTACACAAACATATAATAATTTCTGAATGATAGACAATATACAGAGCTTTGCAAACATATATAATATGTTGAGTTTGTTTTTAGTTTTTCCAGCAAACCAAGGAAATATACATTGGTGGGTGTTAAAAGTAGCATATTGCCAGCAGAAAAATTTAATTTCAAAGCAATAACATAAACACAAAAATTGTAAGTATGACTTAAGCCTTTATTGTGATTAATTAGTAAGCATTGTCCCATTACTTTTTCACATATAAAAATATCCAAAATAACATGTTGCTGTAATCGTGTGATCTCCTTTACAGTTGTTTATTTTCAAGACAATAGTTAAAATTTTTTGAGTAAATATAAAGATTAGTCTAAAATCAATCTGGGAAATATATAATTTGATTTGATCAGACCCCAAACACAGGGTATCAAGAGATATTTTGGGTATGTCCATTTGTAGCTTGTGATAAAATTTGTTGTTTTAAGCACGTGATCTCATTTATGCACATATCTAATGTAGATACTCAAATTATTTCATTTTGCTATATTTCTATACACAACAGCCAAGACATTTGTTGTTATCAATAACTGAAAGGGTAAGAGTAAATTGCATTCTTCAATAAAAATCACTGAACATGAAATTACTGAACTCTTTTTCATGTTCTCCTTTACTTCAGTTTTGCTTCAGAGGGGAATGTATAGATTGCATAATGCTTTTCCCACCATATTCAGTTTCACCATGTGTAGATGATTAGGGTAGGGTGGATTTGAAATATATCAGTCTCAACTCAACTTATTTTCCTGCAAGAAAAGTCCTTGAAAGTGGGATTACATAACAGGTGTGTATCTCTTTAACAGTATAACTAACATTTAAATGGTGTGAGTGGTAGTAGTTTTAGGTTTATATGACTGATAATTTACAGAGCTAAACGTGTGAGCGATAATTCAACTCCTTGTATATGCTTTGCACTTCTTAGTATAATGCCACATTATAATAACAGCTTACATTTATGATCTGTGGAAGTAGTCTGATACAAAATAACTATTCTTATTAGCCTGCTATAGCTGGATTTACTGTAGGAATGTAAAGGAGATCACATTAATTTCTACGCCTGTCTTTGCTAATATACAAAGGTGGTATGCATTTTGGTGATGGGTTTCATATTTGTATTTTTATAATGGATAATAAACAAAGTTGGCAGCTGAAATATTATCACAGAAAAAGGCAGCAGGAGGGAAAACCTTCTTACAGTTTGTTTGCTTTTTGCCTTTTTTATTCTAGGTACAATATCATTTGGTAAAGGAGAACACATGAAAACAAATAGTAGTCATATTCATCAAGGTGTAAAAATATGACAGAATGTAGCCTGAGTGCTAGATATTTGGCAGAAGGTTTTTCAGTAGTTACATTTTCAAGAACTATATAAATCATACTTATTGGAGAAGATTTTTTTTTTCAACATTTTCTAGTTGAAAAATGGATGCTTAAGAAAGCCTGGTACTTAAGCCCTTGCATTGAACAGAAATGAGACTTTATTTAACCCACATATAGCTTTGTTAGAAAGCCAGGTAAATTACAGGAATTTTATGTATATCAGTAAAGTAATTTGATAATTTTTTGGTTTTATAATATGCATCTTTGAAATGTACAAATATGAATTTATCTTCCCCCCCTTCATTTGAGAGAAAAACCAAGGTTTAGCAAGTATGTCTCGTGAGTGCAAATCAATTTCCTGACATCTTAAAGTACTAGAAATCATTGATTTTTCTATATATTTGTTATTTATTGTTCTATGTTTGAAGAAAAATAGTTAATAATTAAGCATTTATGAGTAAATGGTAATAATATATATATATGTGTGTGTGTGTGTGTTTTCATCAGCACTTACACATTTTGTAGACCTATACTACTAAATTCCGACTACTCCAGAAAGATAACTAATATCCAAATATCTACCTCTGGACTTTGTACAGAGTCATATTATAACAGTTTTCTTATACTTTGTTACTTTATACAATTCTCCTCGGATTCACTGTGTTCTTGGAGCCAGAATTATGGTAAATTTTGTGGGAATTTTGGCTTATTGCACATGCTTGTATGCTATTAACAGTGCCATGTTACCTTGTTACAGAAACAGTCCAGTGGCAGGAGTGGTGATTCATTGCCTTGTCCTCGGAAGGTTTCTAGTTCAGCCACTAACAGTAATATAAACATAGGAAATAGATGTGAAAAGGTTAGAAGTAGAAACTTTAAGGAGAAGTACCTTGGATATTCATGGTCAATACTAAGAAGGATTGAACAGTACTACTTTTTTTTTTCAATTTTTTGTAGTGGTTGCAAGTTTAGTCAAGATAGGGTAGAGTATATAACAGATAAAATGTAAGGTTTTAATAAAAAAGAATGTTTGGTATTTATTTACAAGATTTTAGAGATTATGCAAATGAAATTTTATAATTTTCAGATGAAGAAAAGTATTTTTAATCTTAAATTAAAAATCACTTTGCACTCAGAGCAGTTGACACTCTTGGCTCCATATATTAAATGGACAAATTTTTAATAAGGATACTTAATTAGAAATACCAATTTTCAGATACATTACCTTACCTCTTCTCGCATGTATAGCTATTTTCATTCAGTGCTGCTCTCTATATGCAAAATTGTTTTCACATACCACAAGCGTTAAACTCCCACATATCCCATGATCAACATGGTTCACTGTGTCTTGCATGTAAATCATCCTGTGACAACCTCCCACCGATAGGAATGCAACACGCCCTCC